CTTTTAAATCCAAATGCGCGTTGCATACTTTTGAGTGAGGCGAAACAAAAACTGATTTTATAAAAACGTCGATTAATTCGGAGCGCTAAGGTCACGTGATCAATTTCATCTTCATCCAAACATATCAAACAATATCTTTGCTGTTGTTGCTGTTTAGGCAAAGCTTCGATTTGTTGTTGACTTCATCTTGGAGCGCTCCAAGTCCACACAGATTGAATATTGAATATTTGAATTTTCTTTCTCCGATCAACCTAACTTACATGTTTGCCCGAAAGGGATCATTACATACAATGTGTCCCACTTTTTATGAATACATCCTGATATCTCAGTTATTAATAATGCGATTTTATTCAAATTTTGGTGGTGATTGCATGCTAGAAAAATGAACTATGTATTTGACATAGTTAACATTTCAATTTACCATTGGCGTGCGGTGTTGAGGGTAAAAAAGGTGTTGTATTTTTGGGAAAAATATATTAGGGCTTATTTTAGATAATTTTTTGTCATAATCATCATCATCCCCAAAAACCCCTTAATTCGTATGTATTTTGAAAATCTGAAGCGCTGATTTTACCAAAAAAAAAATAGATATTTAATTCACTTTTTCTAATAAGCTGTTTATTTCTAATTATGATGACCAAATTAAAGATGACATTATTTTAGAATATTGTATTTTCAACATAGATACCTTCTAATTAGAAATAAACAGCTTATTAGAAAAAGTAAATTAATAGCTATTTTTTATACAAGACGATAAAATGGTCGTTTATCGTTGACTGGAAAAGTTAATTCACGAGCGGAATCGCGAGTGATTTAATTCCGGGAGACGATAATGGCAGTTTATCGTCGTGTGCAAAACAAAGTTTTTTTCCATAGCCTAATTATGGACGCCTGTTGTAGTATCAAAAGTATTTAGAAATTATTTGAGTCGAACACTTTTGCATAAGTAGAAATTCGTTTGACAAACTTTGACAAATAAATAAAAAACAAAATATGTATACAGGGTGGGACACGAAAAACTTCCCACCCAGGTTTTCTCAGGTGTTAGGTGATTAATAGGAAATCGCTCAGACACGTCATTTTTTGTTTTTTGGGGGACATCTTTTATTGGTATTTTCACCCCCTACCTGTCAACCCCTAAGCGGGGGTGACAAGTAACCCAAAATTTCAATAGGAAAGCGGGTCGAGTGATACGTTATTTGATAGCTATTTTTATCAAGATTATATTTCCAAAGTTTCAAGTTGCTACTATTTGCCCTGTCGAAATGACGGCTTATCAAATTTGTGTGTTTTTTCTCATAATAACAAAATAACAGATAATTCAAAGGAATAAACACGAAGAATTTCAAGCTGAACTGTCGAATGACAATAAATAGTATTTCATTACTATGGATAGATTGTCTTAAAAAATCTGTTTTTGTTATTATGTGGTAAAAACCACACAGTTCAGATACTCGGAAAAAAGCATTTTTTCTAACTTTGACAAGCCACCATTTTGGCAAGGTAAATGGTATTAACTTGAAACTTGGTGGATTTAATCTTAATAAAAATATCTACCAAATGATGTATCACTCGACCCCCCTTTCCTATTAAAATTTTGGGTGTATCTGTCACTCCCACTCAGGGGTTAACAGGTAGTGGGCAAAAATACCAAAAAAATGTGTCCCCCAAAAAACAAAAATTGAAGTGTCCGAGCGATTTTTGATCGAACACCTAACACCTGAGAAAACCTAGGTGGGAAGTTTTTCGTGCCCCACCCTGTATATTTTTGACAAAATAAACGTCTTTATCCATCCTTGCTGTTAAAGTATCATTTATTCTACCCTTGCGGTTAAACTACTACTTTATCTACGATTTTTAGAAGATTAAAGGCTACTTTACCAGTAGCTATGGAAAAAAAAAATATATTTTTTTTTTTTGCTAAAATCATCTCTTGAGATTTTGAAAATATGAATTAAGGGTTTTTTGAGGATGCTGATTCTTAATCTGATACAAAAAAATACCTAAAATAAACCCTAATATATTTTTCCCAAAAATACAACCCCTTTTTACCCCTCAACACCGCATTTTAATGGTAAATGAAAATGTTTACTATGTCAAATAGTTCATTCTTCTAACATACAATCACCACCAAAATTTGAATGAAATCGCATTATTAATAACTGAAATATCGGGGTGTATTCATGAAAAGCGGGACACACTGTATAGCAACGAAGTCGAGAAGCGATAAATATAACTAATAGTAGTGAATGGCTCGTCGAAGAGTCAGTTTTTAATACTTGTCCTGACCTAACTCAGCCTTACCATTCCAGATGAGATATAATTCTTTTCTGATTCCGTGTTGTTTTCCCTTTTAGTTAGCACTGAGGATGGCCGGAAGGCCGAAAGCGGTTTGCTAGTTTTTGTTAAAGGTTCTGGGTTCTTGCTCGAAATACTTTCGTTTGATTTCCCTATAATTAATTATAACTGACAGATCAGAGTGAATGTGAAACACGTTTAAATATGCAATTTAAATTATCTCCTAATCAATCACCCTGAATAACAATTTTTAAGACGTGTTAGCAATATTGTAATCATTGCAGTGCAACATAACGGCTGTGTTAGAAAAAATTAAAAAATTAAGTTAATTTTATTTAGGTGCAAACTTCATCAGGGACTCTCAGACACATTCTTAATGGCTATGTGTGGCTATTCTTCCAGGAGTTCCAGGCAGTTAGTAAGCATTACAGTTGTCAAGCGCCTTAAACTGGGGTTTTAAAATGGGTACAATAATCGGGTCTAGAACACATTAGGTCCCTAAAAACGGAGAATTTTTCTATCTTCAAATTTGCATTGGAGCAATTATTAGGACATAATGAAGAAAAAAAAATATGGATGAGCTCATTGTTTTGATAAACAATATTATTTAAATATACAGGGTGTCCTGAAAAGAAACCGACAAACTTTAAAGGGTAGTAAGGGACATCAAAACAAAAAATAAGCATTTTTGTTTATATAAACATATATCCGCAAATGAGCCATTTGGTCTGTAGAGCGAAAAAATTGTTTGGTACTTTTATTCTTCGCAATAATTAAATCACTGTTTACTTATTAATTTTGCTTATTTATTAACAAATAAATTATGGTTTACAATAATTGTTCAAAATGTTGACCATTTACTTCAATGCAGATTCCACCGTCAGGTCATTAATAGACAACTACTAAGTTAATTAAGGAAACTAATCACAAATTAGGTAGGAATTTTCAAAATGTCAGTAAAAAACCAGTAAAAAATTAATAAAATCAGTAAAAAACCTCAAAAAAACCCTTTCCATAAACATTAAATATTGTAAATATTTACCAAGGTGGTATGCTGATTTTGCCATAAAATAGAAATCTATTAAAGTAAACAAAATAAATGAACAAAATAATAATAATTGTAAAAAATCACTAGTCACTAATGCCTTATATCCTCTCGCTTCTCAACCTTTGACACAGATCGAGAATAATATCTATTCTTATCAGCTTAATATCGCTATACCTATCAAAGATGCAGAATCAACAGGGAACAAAATGAAATTAAAAAAATCATAACTTGATAAATATTCAAGGATCTATTATTTTTTTCTCGCTAACCATCTTGAAATTGCTTTGTTTATCAGTAATAATCAAAATCATATTAAAAATCAAAGGGACCTAAAGTGATCTATCACCCAATAATCTACTGAAACTTTCGGACCTTGGGGACATGAAGCTAAAAAATTAGTGATATTTCTTCAGAAATAAAAAGTAAATTTGCTCATAGTTTCATCATTCAAAGAGTTAGCTTGGCTGTTCAAAGAGGAAACGCTGTAGCAGTCCTGGGAACAATTCCGAAGGACGTAGGACTGGGAGAGATTTTTTATACAGGGTGTCCCAGGTAAAACAGTCCACCCCGATTTACTAGATTTGGAATGAGAATCTGGAAAAACTTTCGGACACGTCGATTTTTGATTTGAAGGAGAAACATTTTTCAGTTTTTTCCATCTCCCTAGCTTCAACCCCCTAGCCAGGGGAAGAACAACCCCCCAAATTTGAATAGGGGATAGGGGTCGTGTCATACCTCTTTTTGAAGGTCTCATCGAGTTCTTTATGGCTGTAGAATTTCGTCTTATTATTTTCGTCCGTAACGAAAAGACAGCTTGTCAAAATCTTGGAAATAGGCTATTGTTTCAGTGGGAGTGAAAGCGATACTTACCTCCCTTAATAAAAATACTTGAAATTGAAGTTTTTTTTATTATTATTATTATTAATTAGGAATACATGTGAATTGTAAATTGTAAGTATTTTTTTTTACTACTAACCTGAGAAATAGTCATTATTCAATCTATTTTTCTAGGAAAAAATTGAATTTCTCTCCCTAGGTGAATAATGAAAATAATGAAAAAATACCTAGGTCAATAATGAAAATGACGTCATGACGCAAGGATATTGCCATGTTTCTATTGGTTCAATTTCAATTTCATACGTCAATTTAAAAAAAAAATACAGGTTTCTGTAGGTACATAGTGTTAGAATTAAAATTATATTTGAATTTAAAATAATAATTATTATAAAATATTTTTCGAAGGAATTAAATTATTGTGATGATAATTCAACCGGACTATTATTTATCTTGGTGAAACATGAAATGATGCAGGTAAATAAAGTAAAGGGTCGAATACTTCGTCAACCGCGGGCAATCGTGCGAGAAAAGGGACAGGCAGGTACTGAAAAAACGGAGTCAGTCTTCCCGTGAGTGCTAGCACGCTTGCTATAATTGCCGTTGGCTATTTTGTTTACAGTTTACAATAAATAATATAACATCAGAAGCGGGATATCGAATACACGCGGTATGCTAAAATAAATTTACGTGCGGAATGTGGACTGTTATTTTTTCATTGTGCGTTTCGTAAAAAAAAAAAAAGCTCAGGCTATTGTTTTGTTTATGACAGTTTTTCTTGTTTGAATTGTTATTGGTAAAATTACCTGTGTGTTATTAGTTATTAGTGACAATAAAGGTGTGAAAATGGAGCAATTGCTTAGTGAATTGGTAAAGGCTATCAAGGGTTCGAGGACGGCACCAGATCAAGTGGATTTGCCGCTGTTTAATCCTGACACGACGGATGCCAAAAAATGGTTGGCCGAGGTGGGTACAATAAAAACAGAATTTGATTGGACTGATCAACAATTGTTAGTACGGGTAAGCAAATTTTTGAAAAATTAATCTAAAGTTTGGCTTGATATGTGGACCCCGGAGACTCGCGATTGGGCGACGTTTCAAAAAGACTTTATTGAATCATTTCCCCCAAAAAAGATTTTGGGCCGATTACTTTCGGAAGCAGCAGAATTTAGTAGTGATAAGTGTAACTGCTATGAGACATATGTTTATGAAAAGGTAAACAAATTGAGAAATGTTAGGGCACAGTGGGAGGAGCTAGATCTTGTCGAAATTATTATTTATGGGATAAGAGAACGTGAAGTTCAAACTATAGCTAATAATCAGAATTTTAAAAAAATATCAGAGTTGATAGCTTTCTTGGGTTCCTTAACAAAGCCTTCGTCCTCTGGTATGAAAAGACCTTTTGAAAAAAATGAACTTGGGTCGGGAAATAAACGTTATCGATTTAGTGACAATGCTAATCGGTACAAAGTTGATAACTCGGTTGATAACAATCACCAAAATAGAGGTGTTGCTAAAGTGAGCTAAAATCGTCTCCTCATCAACCTCAACCTAAAGTCGATGAAGAAAAAAAAAACAGACAATGTTTGTTTATTTTGTGCTAAAGCTGGACACAGTATAGAAAATTGCTTTACACGTAAGGGTATAGAAAAGCGGAGGAACACTCATGATGTCAAATTCTGTACTACAGGAAAACCAGTTCCTCTGAATGAGCTAAAAATAGATGGTAATATTTTTAAGGGTATTATTGACACTGGAGCAGATATTTCCTTGATGTCTGATAAACACCTTCCATATTTTTCTCAAAGTGTTTTGCCATGTAATGTTAATTTATCTGGAATACTTCCAGGCAGTATAGAGTTACATCAGACGTTTAAGGGTACAGTAGAAATTTGTGATGTAATCTTAAAACTAGATTTTGTTTTTGCACCTCAAAATATATTGGAGTGCGATGTCATTATTGGTGCCAATTTGTATGAGGACTCTACTATTATGTCAATTACTGATTCTACTGGGACACGCATATTTAGAAACCCAACAGCTTCTATTCGACGTATAATGACCAGCCTTTCTTTGGACACAGAAATAAACGTTCCAGATGTGTATCGGTTAGATATACAGAATCTCTTAGCTAAATTTGAGAGAATGATACCAAAAGGAAAAACGCTATCTAAAGTAAATAACACTACTTTACAAATCAAATTAAAGGATGATTTTGTTGTAAGCCGTAATCCTTATCGACTTTCTGCGGTGGAGAGAAAAGCAGTACGTGAAATAATTAGCGACCTTTTGCAAAACAATATTATTCAAGAAAGTTCTTCGCCGTTTGCCAGTCCAATAATCCTGGTTCGCAAAAAGGATGGTGACTATCGCTTGTGTGTCGATTACAGGGAACTGAACACACATACAATTAAAGACCGATATCCTTTACCCTTGATAGAGGACCAACTTGATCGCTTGGGCAAAGCAAAGTTCTTCACTTCATTGGATATGTTATCCGGATTTCACCAACTGTCGATCGATCCAGAGTCCGTGCCCAAAACTGCCTTCGTAACGCCTGAGGGCCACTATGAGTTTCTTAGGATGCCCTTCGGGTTAGCAAACGCTCCAGCTGCCTTTCAACGAGCCATTAATAAAGCGCTGGGTAAATTAAAAGATAACGTAGCCCTGGTGTATATGGATGATATTTTAGTGCCCTCAATGTCCATAGAAGAGGGGCTAGAATCACTTGGAAAAGTTCTAGGTGCCTTGTAAGAAGCTGGGTTTTCCTTGAACCTCAAAAAATGTCATTTCTTTCAAGAAAAATTGGACTATCTGGGACAAGAAGTTTCATCACAGGGAATCCGTCCTGGATCACAGAAAGTAGAAGCACTAATTAAAGCTCCATCACCAACTAATGTGAAACAAGTAAGACAATTCATGGGGTTAGCAGGCTATTTCAGGAAATATGTCCCAGAGTTTGCCTCCCGAACAGCCTGCATAACAAAACTCACACGAAATAATGAACGATTTGTCTGGTCCTCGGAGCAAGAAAATGCAAAAAACTATGTGGTCAATTGTTTAGTTTCTAAACCTCTTTTATCAATATTTGATCCGAGTTTGCCGACTGAGCTCCACACAGATGCGAGCTGCATTGGATATGGAGCAGAACTGCTACAGAGACAAGACGGAAATAATAAAATAATTGGATACTTCAGTAAACGTAAAAGTTCTGCAGAAGCTAAATATCATTCATACGAGTTGGAGACTCTAGCAGTCGTAAACGCTCTCAAACATTTTCGAGTCTACTTGCTTTGTAGGCCAAGCTTCACATTGGTTACGGATTGTAATGCTCTGAAGGCCACAGCGAACAAAAAAGAACTTCTACCCCGAGTAGCTCGCTGGTGGATCTACATGCAAGATTTTTCCTTCCAAATTATTTACCGAAAAGGTAGCTCCTTGCCTCACGTAGATTATCTGAGTCGCAATCCCGTTACCAATTCTGTTACTATAAGACGAATTGCTGATAAAAATGAAAATTGGTTATACGTTGAACAACGAGGGGATACTGAGATTAGTAAACTAATAAACGATGCTGAACAGAACCTATTGGACAAGACACGCTATCTACTGAAACATGGAATTTTGCATTATTTGGTCCCTAATGACCCAGCGAAAAAACCGAAACCAGTAATACCACAAAAAAGTCGTCTGGGACTTCTGAGGATCTTCCACGATGAACAGTGTCACATTGGAATGGAAAAAACAATTGAGTCAATACAAAAACATTTCTGGTTCCCTAGGATGAGACATTTTATTCAAAAATACATTAAACATTGTTTAATTTGTGCTGTTAAGAAAACCAGAGCAGGTCCTCTTCAAGGATTTATCAAAAATGTCGACAAACCATCAGTGCCCATGGAAATACTACATGCAGACTGTTTGGGACCATTGCCTGCAACGTCTGATGGTTTTAAACATATTTTGGTAGTTGTGGACACTTTTTCCAAATTCTGTGTATTGCAATGTTTAAAATCCGTCAAAGCTGAAGAGACAAAATTAGCTTTTCAAAATATCATTTCATTGTTTGGTACTCCAAAAATGATAATCATGGATGCAGGTTCGAATTTTAAAAATTTAAGCTTGCCTGAATATTTGGATGTCTTGAATATTGAATATCATTATACAACACCTGACATACATCGTTCAAATGGGCAAGTTGAACGATATATGCGTACTATCATGAACTTGTTGCGGGTAGAAACCCGTATTAAATCAGAATGGTCGAGCAAAATATGGAAGATACAATTAGTACTTAACACCACCGTCGAAAAGTCAACCAATACTGCGCCACTAAGAGCATTGATTGGAGTCGATGGTGCAACGCCTCTTATTCAGAATTTGTTGAAGAACCTCACGGATGATTCTGTGCCAATAAGGAACTTAAATTTGGATCGAGAAAGAGTCAAAAGTGCCCTTGATAGCAATACCAAAAGGGACCTGAGATCAAATACAAAACGTCGTGATACGAAAGTTTTTCAAGTTGGTGATTTTGTTTTAATGCACCGAGACGAAAAGATGCATCAGGGAAAGCTATCTTATGAATTTGATGGTCCTTTCGAGGTTGTTGGCATCACCCCGCAACAACGTTACGAGCTACGAAGAGTTGGAAAATCAACCATTACCAAGGCAGCTAAAGAGCAGCTACGAATTTGGCCTACAGACTGGTCTCTCACACTAGACATGCCAGACTTATTGGAACTTTTAGAAGAAGAATTCAGGCGAGTAACTTTTCATTTATTTGTTGGTTATGGATATCTGGCCATGTTAGAATAACTAGAAGCCAGTATTTTAAACATATATCAGGGAATTTTCACACTTGTAAATTTGTGTGTTATACCTTTTATTAGTTTGGCTACATTTTGTATGTACTTTGACCAAGGGTTTGACTTTATGATTGCAACTAAAACTAAAAGTATTTTCTATTTTGCCGAAATACTGAAAGTATTTCCTGTTTTGATGAACCTAATACTAAAAGTATTTTCAATTCTGCCGAAATACTAAAAGTATTTCCTGTTTTTAGAACCAATACTAAAAGTATTTCCTATTTTGCCGAAATACTAAAAGTATTTCTTGTTTTGATGATGCCGAAATACTAAAAGTATTTCCTGTTTTGATGAAACTAATACTAAAAGTATTTTCAATTCTGCCGAAATACTAAAAGTATTTCCTGTTTTGTAGAACCAATACTAAAAGTATTTTCTATTTTGCCGAAATACCAAAAGTATTTCCTGTTTTGATGCAAATAATACTAAAAGTATTTTCAATTCTGCCGAAATACTAAAAGTATTTGCTGATATTTTGAACCAATTCTAAAAGTATTTTCTATTTTGCCGAAATACCAAAAGTATTTCCTGTTTTGATGCAGCTAATACTAAAAGTATTTCCAAATTTGCCGAAATACTAAAAGTATTTCCTGTTTTGATGCAAATAATGCTAAAAGTTATTTCTCTTTTGCCGAAATACTAGAAGTATTTCCTGTTTTGTGAAAATACAAATTTATGTTTCTTTTCCTTCGTTTTCCTGTTAGTTACTTATTGGGAATTATTTGTAATTTCAGTGAGGATTGTGAGGAGGAGGATGTCTCTACTATTAGTGAGAATTAAAATAATTATTGGATGTTGCAGTTCCGAGAACGAAACTACTATCAGGGTTGGCCGTGTTAGAATTAAAATTATATTTGAATTTAAAATAATAATTATTATAAAATATTTTTCGAAGGAATTAAATTATTGTGATGATAATTCAACCGGACTATTATTTATCTTGGTGAAACATGAAATGATGCAGGTAAATAAAGTAAAGGGTCGAATATACTTCGTCAACCGCGGCAATCGTGCGAGAAAAGGGACAGGCAGGTACTGAAAAAACGGAGTCAGTCTTCCCGTGAGTGCTAGCACGCTTGCTATAATTGCCGTTGGCTATTTTGTTTACAGTTTACAATAAATAATATAACAATAGTAAGTTATCATAAGATGTTGATAGATGGCAGCACTTTGAAGAGGGCGTTCAAAAAAAAATAATTAAGAGCACAGATTTTAAACAATTTTTTTTATTTTCTACTAGCAGTAGTAAAAAAAATTCTATATATTCCTCGGTAGAGAAAGTCATTATATACCCCACGCATTATAAACCTCGGCGCTTTGCGCCTCGGTTTATAAAAACGTTCGGTATATAATGACCAACTTCTCTACCTAGGTATATAATACACTATTATTAGGAGGGGCGTCAGATAAGATGAGCCAGCGCGCCATCTTTTGGGCTTAATGTCATACGTTAAATATTTTTTAATCACAGGTGTTCAAATTCTCTGTAAGTGATTGACTTATTTACAAGTAGATGGCGACATCTTCAATATCAATTCGTTTACACAGTAACTAAACAGTGGACTAAATAATTTTATTCAGATGCAAATGAAATAATAGTATTTCACATTTTTAGCTAGGTGAAACAGTTTTTACTGGCGTTTGAAAGGAGTTACTACCCTTCCCGAACTAGGCGACATCTTCAAGAGAAGCTCTGAACACACGTTTGCTTTGAGTCTCTACTGAAAATGACCGCAATCACCTGCTTGTTTGGCAGATTTTCATTAATTTTGAAATAACATCATACATTTTCGGCAATTCTGTAATTTTCATTTATTCCAGCATTTTATCGTTCGTGTGCTACTCAAGGTATTCGTCCCTTTTTCATTTAAATCCACGACCAAAATTTGCATATTGTTGTGAACAACATTGTTAATAATTTTACTATTTAGACTGTGTATTTTGCAACCAAAAATGCGTCGACTCCTATTCCAATCTATTATTGTTATGAACATAACTTCATTTTACTGAAAAATGGTCTAAATTTGGAATAGCACAGAAATTTGTGAAGGTCTGTAAATGAAATTTTATTTAATTAATAAAGGAGGTAAGTACCGCTTTTACTCCTACTAAAGCAATAGTCTGATTCCTTAATTAAGATTTTGACAAGCTGTCATTTCATTACGGATGGAAATAATAAGACGAAATTCTAGGGCCATAAAGAACTCGATGAGACCTTCAAAAGGAGGTATGACGCGACCCCTATCCCCTATTCAAATTTAGAGGGTTGTTTTCCCCCTGGCGAGGGGGTTGAAGCTGCGGGGATGAAAAAAACTGAAACATGTTTCCCCCTCAAATCAAAAATTGACGTGTCCGAGCGTTTTTCCGGATTCTCATTCGAAATCCAATAAATTGGGGTGGACTGTTTTCCCTGGGACACCCTGTATATAATTTTTATGTATAATTATAATAGAATAGTCTGATACTTTGCGTTACCTTCATGAATCAAAGAAAGTTTTTCATTTATTTAAAATATTTTTCTTAGTTTTAAATAAGCCAATGTTTAAACAAAAATTGAAACTAATTAAATCTAATACTCAATGAAGTTTTTTATACTAAAATAATAATGAAAAATAGGAGAGGGAAAATTAAAACATACAGAACAGAAAGCTGTAACTGATTAACCTATCGAACGATTCCTTTCGTCGCGGTTCTTGAATCTGTAGATGGAAAAGAATACATATAGTCCTTGATACACCATAAAAAAAAAAATGATTACCAGCGAGCTGTAAGCTCGTGTATAGCTTAAGCGTAACGAGTCGGGCAACTTTTTTACCTGGAAAAAGTTTGCCCGCGGGAGGTTTTCCTTCGGCACCGCGGGAAAGATGTCGATTTCATGATTTTAAGTTATGTGATAACCAGCAAGCTGATGCTTTTAGGAATGCTTAACTAGGTGTAGTAATGTGTCACTATAACATTGTCCGACAAAAATATTGGGTTTTTCCACTTGTCCCCCACCCTAAACATGTTCTTTTTATGATTTTTGGTTATGTGATAACCATCAAGCTGAAAGTTTCAGGAATGCTTAATTAGGCGTAATTATGCGTCAGTATAACATTGTCCGACAAAAATGATGGGTATTTCCACTTGTCCCCCACCCTGAACATGTTCTTTTTATGATATTTGGCTATGTGATAACCAGCAAGCTGAAAGTTTCAGGAATGCTTAAGTAGGCGTAATTATGCGTCAGTAAAATATTGTCCGACAAAAATGTTGGGTATTTCCATATTGTCCCCCGCTCTAAACATGTCGATTTCATGATTTTGGGTTATATGATAACCAGCAAGCTGAAAGTTTCAAGAATGCCTAATTAGGCGTAATTATGCGTCAGTATAACATTGTCCGACAAAAATATTGGGTATTTCCACTTGTCCCCCACCCTGAACATGTTCTTCTTATGATATTTGATTATGTGATAACCAGCAAGCTGGAAGTTTCAGGAATGCTAAATTAGGCGTAATTATCGTCAGTAAAATATTGTCCGACAAAAATGTTGGGTATTTCCATATAGTCCCCCGCTCTAAACATATCGGTTTTATGATTTTAGGTTATATATGTACATGATGACATGTAAAAACTAGCAAGAAGAAAACGGCCATAATGTTATAAAACATGGTACGGATATATTATTAAAACATTACATAGACATTTAACAATTGATGTTTCGAGACATTCTATTATTCACATTCGCTTTGTACGCGCATTATGTAGGTACTATAAACCAAAATTATTTTCTAAACTTTTTCTGTCTCCGCACATAAATGGTATTTTAGCGCTATGAATCCTCATAGCACGGGTCATACATTCCATAAAATGTCCCTTTTCAGCTCAATGACAACTTTACAAATTCAGTTCCATCAAAATATTTGATGACCATAAGTGAGATTCCGAATGTAAGAGTGCAAAATGCTGTTGACTAATAATTGAAAAAAGGCTCAAATAAAATAGAAATATTATTATAGCGCTTATAAATTATTTCCTGAAAAAAAAAGTCCAAATAATTATAGTTACTTTACAAAATAGTATATTGTTGTATTAGGAGTAGAAGCTTCACTTTTTTGTGCTAAAGCGGTAGGTTTGCGAGCCGAACGTAGTGAGGCTTGCAATACTGCTGAAGCACAAAAAAGTGCTTCTACTCCGTATGCAACACGCTATTTTTTCTCCAAACGAATGGGGTAAGCTTGGGGGTAACTGAATGGCTGAGCGGCAGTAAAAGTACGAGCGGCACTAAAAGTACTTTTGCTGCCGCTGGGGTTGCCAAGCAGCATATAAATTAAATTTCTACCACCTCGACAGGTGTTAACCCGTTGGATTTGCCTAGCAGCATAGAAATCAAATTTCTGACATCTTGACAAGGGTTAACAAAGTGACGTTTTTCTGACGTTTGGAGAAAAATATGTTTTTATTAATCAACTAATACAGGGTGTCCGTTTTAAGTGATACCACTATTGCTATCTCCGAAACGGTAAAAGATACGAGGTCGGTTAAATTAGAAAAAAGTTGCCTTTTTTGATGCCCATTCAAGATTCGTTTACAATGTTGCCAAATTCCTTTTAGTTTAGGAAATACAGGGTGATTTCTAAGAAACGCCTAAAGCTATTTCATCAATTATTTCGGAAACTATTGATTTTCGGGACACAATTTAAATTTGAAAGTTTTATAATTTTTATCGCTTTACGACATGGCATCTTCAAATTTCAAATTCGACGTTTCGCCATCGAGCTACCATCATCAACTTCATTTTTTCAAATACGGACCTGGATTTTTTTATGTCATTTTTAGAAAGCGCACTTTATTCTTCTTTCAACGATATACCTCTTAAGTATGATTGGCCGACGTTTCTGCTCGAAAAAGTGATCATCAGTGATTTTTACCAAAATTTTACCTTGATTAGGCACTGGAATTCGTCAT